ATGCAAGACTAGTTAAACCAACCGCCGATGATTTCACACAAACACACAATATAATGATCCGACATATAATTTTATTATTTCCTTTTATTATTGTTAAATTTCTTTTATTGATATTAATTTATCATTAGCATAGTTTACACCTACAGATCAATAAGAACACTTATTCTAAAATGAAACGAAATCGCTTTACTAAATAATTTTCAAGTGGAAGTCAAAGAATCTATTAAAAATCATTTGGAAAAATGCTACGTCTAAACTGCCACTCTCGATAAAAAAAAAAAAAAAAGAAAAAAAAACCAAAAAAAAAAAAGTAATAATAAAAAGAGAAAATTAAAAAAAATTAAAAAACGACAAAAGAAAAAAGAAAGATATTAAATCTAAATCAACGATAGTAAATCATTTAGAAAAACGATTATTATTTTCCCATTTAGTCATGCGATTTTCGTCTTCCACTCGTCGTACTTCCAAAAAGTATGCAATATTTCTCTAAGAGAGATGATACATGTATCGTTTAACTGGCGTTAAATCGATTTGATTATTTTAACGTTTTATTTAGAATGTTTATCGAAGTTGCACGATAAGAAAGAAATTAATATGTCGTTGATCGATGTTAAAATTTTAGAAGGATGAAAAACTTGGCGAGAAAATTTGATAAATCTCATATAGAAGTTCGCGCGAATCTATTTCCATTTAATGAAGGAATGCTCGCGTCCCGAGTTGGTTGCTACCGATTCTGATCTATCGATTATTATCGAGAAAGAAAAGTAATAGAAAAATAATCTCACGTGCTACTACCATCTGTGTAATAGAATCGTTAATGTATAATAAGAATCGCCGTAATGTATGTATGCGTATAATGTTTTACGTTTTGTATGTATCGTTTATCACGATTAATATCGGGATATTAATCAATCTTTTTTCGTTTTTCTTTTCGTTTTCTTTTTTATTCTAAACTAATCATCGAATCTTTTATAAAAATGTTTCACATAAAAGGGATCTCGGGTAATATGTTCGATTTGATATATAATATTTATTTTTAAAAAATGAATGTTTTATTATCTTCAATATGAAATTGATTTGTTTTGTTACAAAACAAATCTTTCTCTCTCTCTCTCTCTCTTTCTCTCTCTCTTTCTCTCTCTCTCTTTCCCTCTTTTTCTTTTTCTTTCATACATAACAACTTTCTATATCAACAATTTGCTACATCAGCAATAATATTTCATTTATTATCCTTTCATATCTTCTAATTCATTGTCAGTCTATCGAAATTAACTTCTCAATTATTCACGAAAATCATTCACAATTTACTCATGTAATTATAACGAAGGGGCGAAATAATTATTAAAAAAAGAGTATTTAAAAAGAAAACTAAACACAGCCATTATCTCTCTCTCTCTCTTTCTCTTTCTCTCTCTCTCTTTCTCTCTCTCTCTCTCTCTCTCTCTCTCTCTCTCTCTTTCTCTCTGTATTTCAAAATATATATTTCATTATTCGTCGTCGTGTGTTGCGAGTAGCTCTCGGTTGCATAAGTGTCAAGGATATATTGATGAATGTCGAATGCTAATTTTCTCGTCTATATCTCCACATCTGTCCGTGCGCATCGATATTTTTGTTGTTTTGTACTATTGTAAGATGTCCGTCAAAATGATAATACTAATGATGATAATATTAATAATAATAATAATAATAATAATAATAATAATAATAATAATAATAATAATAATAATAAAAATAATAACAATAATAATAATAATAATAATAATAATAATAAGATGAAGAAGAAGAAGAAGAACAGTAAACATTAATAATAATAAGAAGAAAAAAGAATAATAAGGATAATAATGATAATAATAAACAATATCCGTTAAGCAGCCTAATCGCGCCAATTCCACGGCATACGCTTTTTCATCGAAAACGATCATCTCTCTCTTTCTCTCTCTCTCTCTCTCTCTCTCTCTCTTTTTCTATCTATCTATCTATCTATCTATCTATCTATCTATCTATCTATCTATCTATCTATCTATCTATTTATCTGTTTTTCTTTATCCGATTGATTTTTATAATTTAATATGAGAAATTGCGTGCAGAAAAGAGAAAAAAAAATAAAAAATAAAAAAGTAGAAAAAAAAAGATCAAATCATTATTATTCTCATTATTGTCGTATAATAATTTTTCTCTATCGATATTATCAACGATATTATTTCTCACTCGTTCGTATTCGTGGAATGTGCGCGCATATAGAATTGTGTTAGCGAGATACGTGAGCGTTTGAACGAACAAATAGTAAGAAACAAATAAAAAAAAAAAAAAAAAAAAAAATGAATAAAAAATAAACAAAACAAACAAAACAAACAAAAAAATGAAGAAAATAGAAAAGTATATGTAAAAAAAAAAAAAAAAAGAAAAAAAAACAAGAAAAAAAATGAAGAAAAAAGAAAAGAAAAGAAAAAAAAAAAAAGAAGTTTGCCGGCCGATTGGCACACGATTCTACTTAAAGTTCGATCTGTAAAATGTTGTGATATACTGTAGCCAAATCAGTCCACGTATAAAAATAAAGGGAGAAAGGCGCAAATGCACCTTAAGATCAATCCATTCTGATTTATTTTATTTATCCGAATATATGTAATATGATGTTTCGATTCGACTGGTACGTTTTAAAAAATTTGATACCATCATTAAATCCTAACACGTAAAAATCTTGAAATATTTTTATTCGCTAGTTGTTTTCTATTAACGAGAACGTAATATTGGAGGGTTGCTCGTGAATAAAGAGATATCATCAGTTTGTATCTTATAAAATCATCAGCAGATATGAAAAAGAAATGGTGTAATCGATCTGGTATGAGGATCGACGTCATAATGAATTATATGGCAAATGGATTAGATACTCGCCATCAGTGAATCTATTGCTTTTACGAATAACGGAAGATATCATGCCGTTGGATTATGAACATCAATATAAGGTAAACATTCCATTTATTCAATTTTCTTACATTTTATTTTCAATTTTGTATGATTAGATGACTGATAAATCTTTATTTCCATAAAAAGAAAGAAACTTAATGAAAGATATCTTTCATAATTTATATATCATAGGTATATAAGGTATATAACCTATATCGTATTATTCATAATTTATGATATCTACTTTTGGAATTATTTGATAGAATTTTATTTTGATATTATTCAATTCTCTAAATGTGAAATATTTATATGGAAATTATTACATTAATAAACGATAAACTCGTTCCTTAAGTAAGATAAATAAAATAAACGAGAAGTTTTTTATTTGAAAATAAAAAAAGATTTACGTAGAACGACTACATTGCGTAAACTATTGTTCACTTATTTATCGTTAAAATAAGATTAATAAATATGTCAGACTTTTTCTTTTTTACGATTTAAAACTTTTGTAGTCAACAAGTACGATATTTATGGACTCGTCCAAGTTTTATTTCGAACTATTTATAAGAAAGTTTAGAACGTAAACCCACATTACATTATCGCTTTCTAGTTATGATTGACCTCATCAAATAGTATGTTTGAAAACATTATCGGCATCAGTGAACCTCGAAACATTGTACTATTGAAAATAATAATCATTGATAAATAGGAAACGGAAATGTGTGGAAACTATGACAAAAGAAAAAAAAAAATTATTATTGATCAATTGATCTGTTAATTATATTTCTTGTAGATCGAACAATATAAGAACAGGTACGTAGTAAATTTATTTATTTTTCTTTTTATATTTATTGAATCTTATTATAGTATGTAAAAGAAAATAAAAAAGAAATCATGATTATCTATTCCGTAATATTATATTTCTCAATCATTATATTTACATTGATCATTATATTTACATTATTAACTTAATGTTTAATGAATAAGAAATAAATTTTCACTAATGAATGAATAAATTACCGAATATTTTTTTTTCTGTTTCTAACTAGGTTTCACTGTTTATACAGGTGATATTTAAAGATGGATATATCAATTCGTCCTATATAATATATATCAATAGTTTTCAGATTACATACAAACACAAGGAATATAATTTATAACGACGTTATATTTTAAATCGGAAGTGGTTCGATATTAAATAATAAGAAACTCTCGAGTGGTATTATCGTTTCTAGAAATTTTTATGATAGTGTATTAAAAAGTATTATTGATAACAGAGAGAGAGAGAGAGAGAGAGAGAGAGAGAGAGAGAGAGAGAGAGAGAGGGAGAGAGGGAGAGAGGGAGAGAGAAAGAGAGAGAGAGAGAGAGAGAGAGAGAGAGAGTAAATAAGACGACCTTTGGATGTGCGAGAACGATTAGAAGTTTAAATCTAGAGTTTTTTTTACACGTACGTATCTACGTATGTCTGTATATATATATATACTCTGAGTAACCAACGAGAGTACACATTAGAATGGCGTTACTCGTGAGTGTATTGGCATTGTTATTCTCTGTGACAACGGCTTACAAAATTCCTCATTATGTTAACGGGCACGATACTATGGTCCATCTCTTCGAATGGAAATGGAAAGATATTGCAGATGAGTGCGAAAGATTTTTGGGACCGATGGGCTACGGTGGCGTACAGGTATGAAAATATTTAACACGTTACGTTAAAATAATAAACGCACGAATTCATTTTGATTATTTTTATTTAATACGAAGTAACGAATGTCAGATAATCAATTTATTCAATTTTATCGTTACGTTCTAGTTAATTTATATAAGCAGTTTTATGTATATATACATATATATATATATATATATATATATATATTTTTTTTTTTCCTTAGAAAAAAGAAACTTCGCGTAAAGACAGAAATAACTGCTAGGAATAGGACTCGTTAGATCGATCGATTTTCGTTCGTGTCACTTTTTTTCTTCTTTTTTTTTTCCTTCCTTTTTTTTTCAATACGACGTATACGAATTATATGTAAATAAGAAGATAATGTATCTAGGGAGAGATGATTAATGAAATAAAAATGTAGCATAATGGAAAGCACAAAATGTAATAATGATTGATTCTCTTTGTCCAAACCAATTGTAAGCTTAGAGAGACTCTTTTAAAGATCACGTGAAATAGCTGAATAGATTTTGAATTTTATGTTGTGTTATGTTGTTTTGTGTGTGTGTGTGTGTGTATGTGAATACGTAACGTGTGACGCAATAGAAAATAAACATGAAAGTCTAGATGTGTGTAGGTATGATTAATGAAAGAAAAAGAATGCTTAGCTATATAGTAAAGGACGAGAACGAATTAAAAAAAAAAAAAAAAAAAAAAAAAAAAGAAAAAGAAAAAGAAA